TGTTGCGCGAGTATTGTCGAGTGTTAGCTTTTATTTTTCTCCACACAATCGCCTCGTGCTCGCGTGAAATCACGTTTAGGATAGGTCTGTTGGGCTTTCGGTTTTCCTAAGGAAAAATACATATTATGATCATGATATTATAACTATAATCTGTCTCGCGAGAGAACGGTACTGCGCAGAAACCAAAACGCGTCACTTCTGTCTGCGCAGGTACAAACGAGACTAAATGCGTTTTGGTTTCTGCACAGTACCGTTCTCTCGTAGACAGAGTATAACATTATCAGCGATAAAAGTTTCCAGATAAACAAAAGTTAGACAGACTGCAACAGCTGACCGTCAATAACTAACATGACCGGAGTTCAGAATTGATCATAAATCATAATATGAGGTTTCAGTAAATTGGTAAAGTTGTGTAGAATCATTAGATTGGCTGAACACTTTCATAGTTATAAGCGGAGTATACAATCTTTTTGGAAACTTAATTTAGTAAAAAATATTATATACTATAATTATTACATTATAACGCTGAATAGTGCGATGATGAAGAGATGGAAAGGTGATGAAGTCGCTACCACTACTACAGCAGCTGGCTGTTATAAAATGGCCGGTCTGCACAACGACTAAAAGTATTAGTAATCGAAATTCAGTTTACTTGGCCACAAGCTTACTTGACTGTTTTCCTACTTCTGACCTACTAAACTAAATTTTGGTTTTTTCATTTGATATAGTCATAAAAATATGTCATATAGTATAATATGTTATCATGATGATACTTATTGGTAAAGGTGTAAAATGACACAAATATTATTTGTTGGCAACGGTGTAAATTATTTAGATTACATTATGATACTTACTTAGTTCCCATATTAAATAACCGCTTTAAGTCGTTTGATGAAACACTTCTGTTTTTTAACGTAGTAATCATTTACACTGAGCTAACAAAGTGTTTTTACTGTGACAATATCAGTACACATGTTGAACAGTTTCGTCAGTGGGATTATGTAATATTTTGTAGAATTAAAAGACGAACAATAATTACAACCGTGGTTTTGATTATGAATTAAAATAGGGAAACTGCATGATATGCGAAAATAAGAAATTAAAAAAGCCAAGAAAATTATTATTATAAATTATTAGGTAATATTATATTTTTGGTAATGGTGCAGATTTGTGTATGTTCACTGTTAATTGCAGATTTACACTTTCACGTGTGGTTCCTATGTTGTGGATAGTTATCTTCCAAATAATATCGAAAATTTTGTTCTAAACGCGTGTAGCCGTATAGGTTTCCGGTATCCGTATTATGCACGCCTTCAGTGTGAGCATGGTCGAAGGTAATCGTTGTTACATAACGTTACATGTATGTATGGTAATGTGTGCGTACTGCGTGATAAGTACCATGTACCAACAATATTACTACTATCAGAACCATTGTAGTCACTAAGACTGTATAGCTTATTAGATTGTAATTATTACAGACTGACCAACTGGTTAGATTAAACAAAATGGCGAGGAGGGTGTTAAGTAATAAAATAAATCATAATTTGCATTTTCCACCCTTTACACATTGTTTATATTTTACAGTTTTTTTTAACTTACAGGCAAAGTCTTGAAATGTCAAGAGCAACATTATAAAGATCATAGAATTTAAAAATATTATTATTTATTACTATTATTGACTTTCATCCGTAATAAGCTGTACTGCGTACATTGTTACCCAAATAAGAAATATAGTTTTTTTAAATATATATAGTATTTACTTATAATAGCTTTAAAAAAAAATTAAATAATTATGTACACCACGTTAGGGGTTACTTTTTCGGATCTCACTTATGCAAATTACAATACACTCCAAAACATAAAATGTTATTCGTGAGTAAAAATAATCAATAACTTGTTATACATAGATCAGTTTAAAAATTGTAATTGGTTGTTTCTACCTAGGCTGTATTAATTTAATAGACGAGCAATATATTTCATATTTGGAGGATGTGACTGTGATTTACTGAAAATACTATTTTATAAAAAAATATTTTAACTATTTAATCTTACACCGGTGGTGCCAGTGACTCTATAGGGTACCCTCGTGAGCAGTCACACCTGGACGATAGGACAAGAGTTTGTTTTATGTCTACATATTATGTTTATAGTTTTATAACCAACTGCAGTAAAAATTGTTTTTTTTTTTGTAAAATTATTTGCTTTGTTTCAGCGTATATTATATTTAAAGTAGATGGTGTGTTGGATAAATATTTACTGTGAAATGGTCTATGGTTTTTAGGCAATGTCTGTACGGCCGGTACCGTCCTCGGACAATACTGTACACAGGAAGTTCGTGTTTTGTAACCGGAAGCAATAGTCCGGTCATTGAGCGCGAAACTTTTCCAACACTTGTGAACAGTACAATTAGATGTTGTAATTATTAACCAGTTACTTCTTTGGTGTGAATTGTTGTAAGCATTCCTAAATCTCCGATAATTATCGATTTCAATACATTTCATAAACCACCGTTAACGCCAACAGCTAATAATATTTGCTTGGACATAATTTCCTAGTATGGTTGTGCATAAAATTGAATGCCAGACGCCAGTACACTGAACTCAATATATGGAACGCGTATTCAGATTGAAAAATGACCCCACCTGGGAGGCAGCCATTTTGTGTACATTTTTATAAAAAGTAAAAATTATACGTCATTTATCCATGATATGTCTTTAAATGTTAGGTTAGGTGATGATGATTTTATCTATTCTGTGATAACACCGTCATATATATATATGATAAATCTTAGAAATAACAATAAATATCATGGATAAAACAATAAAAGTACACAAAATGGTAGCCTCCTACCCGGGGACATTTTCATAAGCAACCGACTATAGGCAATACGCGTTCCATATATTGAGGTCAGTGCGCCAGTACCTATGGATTTTTGAAAGTACGACCTATTGTCGTGAACGCTCTAAAAGGAATTGACTATAAACTGTTATAACTTCTTAAAAATAGGATCTAGACCGTTTTTGTAGGATCACAAAAATATACACTCCTAAATTCATATACTCACGTGCTCATATACGCGGCTTCAATACATAGAATTTCGGTTAACCAAACAAACGAAGTACAAAAATCATGTTTATAAGTGTTCAGAACAACTCTCGTTACTCCGATTATAAAGTAGGAAACGAAAAGGAATGCAATTCACGGCGTTTATTTAGTACTATGTACAGACAAATGAATGTATGTAAACTAAGTACTCTCCCACAAAATGAGTGTCATTAAGTCGGTCTTTTGTTATAGTCGTAAACGATATTAAATACTCACACGTCTCATCAAGTAACACCAGACAGCTACATACAGCTACACATAAACTCTTATTTTATAAAAAGAATAAGTATTAAAAAAAGGATAACGCGGAGTGTCACTCAGTAGTATGTATATTTGGATTGGATTGGATATTTGGATATGGATTAGTTCATCCATTTAAATTCTACTAAATAACAACAAGTGTTAAATATTATTATTATTATATGCTGTAAAAACATTACAGATTCATTGTAAAAACTGAAAATTTAAAACCTAAGCAAAATTTAACTAAAATATACACTTAAAAATGTCATAAATGTAAAAAGAACTTTGATTTTATCACATTGTATTCTGTAGTATTTACAACTTAAAACTGTTCATTAATCATCAATATTAATAAATAGAATAATTTTCACGGATGATATGTAAAGAACCATTGGCATTTCATACGATAATTGCTTTACATAAGTAATGATGTAACGATTCCTATCAAAATGCACACGTACAAAGTGTAGTGCGTTCCAAATAATCACCCCGTAGATAATAAAATTAAATGTTACAACGCAACCCCAAACAACGCATTGAATTGTATAACTTATAGGTAAATTCATACTTCAAAAATATAGTAACTAAGTGATATAAATTAAGATAGTACATTTTCCATTCTCATATTTTCTGAATACTTTTCTACACAAGTCACAACGTACTCAATTCTATCGAAATCTATTATAGAAATCAAAATATTAAGTGGGGAAATGGTTTATGATTCATTTTCAACCGTTGAAGTTTCTGAACAAAGTTTTTTGACTTGATTTTCTACTCTAGAGTACAAATTGCTTGATAGGTACACTTAAAAGCTTTTAGACTTATACTGATTTGCGTAATAATAAATTTTAATACTAGTTAACATTTATGAAAACGACCACGGATGACCGTTAATGTTTATGGAGCCGTTAAATGATTAAGGTTTTCTTGTAACTCGAATAATTAACGTTCATTCCACCCGATGTACACGACCATTGAGCACGTTGAATATCACTTTTTTAATTCGTGGGCCGGACATTGTTAAAGTCTTTTATTACCGTGCGGTGCAAAACCCCGACATCGCTACAACGATGCCGCTTTTGACGCATTGTCATTTTCTTAAAGCCGGTCCCACTAACAGAAGTCGCCGGTGTATGTGGCCAAACACCAATGACTTGTTATGCACTATATTATTATTATTATGCCAATTGCGTGGGAGGCTATATTTGTTTGATCATAATAGTCGATTCAAGAAACGGCCAAAGGAACATGGACGCGACGTTTTGGCCATACACTACAGCTAGTGTTGTGGCATCGGCTTTAAACGGTTGATAAATATCTTGCGACGATGGAGGTGTCCATTGTTGCCAAACGATTGTCTGTATGTAAGTATATTATATATGGACCGCGCTACCGCCTCGTGTCTTTGTCCTGGCCGAGAGCACAGCCACACGAGCCTTGGGGAGCCGCGGTAGAATCACGACCCAGACAACCGGTTCCCACTTCCCAGACACACATAAGCGGCGTACCCATACACACACACGGATCGACCGACCGGTTGTTTTTTTTTTTTTTATGATTGTGTCTATTGTATTATGCCGGCCGAAGCACCGGAAACGGTCGAAAGTTCGACTCGAACCTTGTCTATAGATATAAACTAAGAGCTCACTTACCTAAATTTTTTTTATGATTTCCAACAAATCGTTTTCAGCTGTCTAAATTATTTCGTCTCTGGCCTCTCTCTCTCCCTCGTGCTCGTGTTCACCGACCGGAGTCAAGACGGACTCGTTGGTTTTCCAGGAAAAATCCTAAACATGGTGATCGGGTTGAAAATATTAATGTTTTTTTCCCGATTTATGCGGATTTGTATAATGTAGGCAACAACGACAAATAAACGTGAACTCGCGAACCGACACACCGTCCACCGTACGGTCCACTGAAAGATACACTGGGCTGATATTGCTGCTGATGGCCCGGCGTGTGTGTGCACAGGTGAACGGGTAGAACAACGGTGAAAGCCGGAGTGGGGCCGGCCGGTCGGCAATCGGTGTGCAGCTCTGGCAGTCGCGCGGTCCGATGCACATAGCAGCGTCATCTCGCGGCACCGACGAGGAGATGCCGTACACTACCACTTGTGGTTTTGACTTTGGGCCTGAGCTATGAACCCAAAAAATCATTTGATTCGGGTGTATGTATAACAAATGATTTTGCTATTCAAAACTGGTTTGAACTTTTCGAGGCTATTCGAATGCTCCAAGTATTGTTGTAATACGTCATTTCTAACAAATGGCTTTCATAAAATTAACGCGTTTCAAATAAAAGCCTGAAAAAGCCTAAGACCCTTGAATTACACTGGATTAATTTGTTTTAAAATGTTCACAGTTTTAAAAAACCTGCTTTGCCTGAGCACATATGGTTACGTTAGGTTTTTAATAGTTAAAAAGAACAATTTTAAAATTTAAACATCAAAAATTAGATATATATATAAATTATACAGATTAAAAAAAAGTTTTAAAAGTTAAAATGTCGGTTTTTCTCTTACAGTTTTACGCAGGTATTTTTTTAGTCAAAAGCGACACCGCTTACCGAGACCTCTAAGCATCCGTTTCCTAATTACAATATTATTATTATGTATGTGTAATGTACATTGTTTTTATTTCGGATATTATTGATTTTGGGTTTCAGTATTTTCTGAGGTTTTAACGGTATTCAATATCGGTTTAACTCATAATTATAATATTGTACCTACTTTGCATTTTGTATCTAGATTTACAAACACTTTTTCAACGATTGGACAGGTGTTTTTTTAATTATAGAGTGGTCAATACAGTCATTTACCAAAGATGATTTTTAAGCTTTAAGTGGAAAAGTTCACTTCTCTCTATCATAATCATGAAACCACCCTAACATAAAACATTTAAACGATTTTCTTAGTTTAAATTTTAGCTACAGAACATATATTTTACTTTTGAACTGAGCGATTACTTAATTCAAGCGTCAGTCTTAATTTATATTTTGTATATATAGGCGTATACCAACAAAAAACCTAAATAGTTATAATCAAGTCCTGGAAAATGAATGTTCATTTAAAGTAAAAATATATTCTATTATTTAATGAAGATTAAATAGGAAACGTTCATTGAACACTCTATTAAATTTGCTATAAATCGTTTATTTTACAAATACGGCGCTTATGTAATTTTCAATTTTCTTAATATTATACTGATACACTTGTCATGACAAAATTAAAACTCAAACGTGTGGGTACCTGAGCAATTAAATAGTTAATTTATATTAATTAGTTAATCCTCAGTCCACACTTAAGAAGATTCTAATTAGCAAAATACACGCAGCTTATGTCTTTCGCGTTATATCCATAAGCAGGGCTATACTGTGTTTTCTATTTCAGACTTCAATGAAAATGTCTTACTTGCTACAGAATTTTGCAATAAATATCTATATATTAGTGGTTTAATACATTAAAATACATCCACTATAAAATATTGCAGTCAGAGTTGTGCATCATTCGAATAAAACGTTATTAAAATAATCATCTAGATTACACATTATTCAAGTAAAAGTTTTTCAAATAATTTCAAAATGTATTGCTCAAATAATTTTTATTCGGTAATTTTTTTATTCAAATTATTCAAATAATTTTTAAACATATTATTTATATAGTTTTTAAGTGTTTTTTTAAGTAAATTTATTTTAAAACATTATTACTTATACATATATAATATATATATATTTTTTTTTTTACGAGTCGGGGTGACATGTCATTTTACAGGTAATTAAATGTATAAACATCATTACAAATAAACTATAGATAACACAACATAATATCAATTAGTCAAAAAGTCAACTGGTGTATATAAACTAAAATAAAATATGAAATAATGTCCTAAACAGATAATGGTAATTATATTAATGGTAACAATGGGTGGTTCTAAAAGGTAACGTATGAATCGTGTTTTAAAATTTTGTCGCTCCAAAATTCTGCCATTTTTATAGCCTTGCTATTTGCGTCTTGTAAGTCTGTTACGTCACATTTGATTGGGCATTCGTTGCAGTTTAGGAGGTGCGACATTGTCTGGACTTCTCTACATACACAGTTCGTGTCTTCATTCCCATCGCTTATTCCCCATTTTTTTAGGTTCTCCCTCGAACGTCCAACTCCTGTACGTAAGTGATTTAGTGTTCTCCAGACCATCCATTGATTGTTATGTCCTAGGGGTAACTTCTCCTCGACTTTTTGCTTTCTCTCTACCTCCCATAACTTTAATCTTGCTGTCTGTGGGTTATCTTCTAATTTCTTCGTGCATTTTAGAAAGCTCTTTCTTGATTTTAGTCGGAAACCTTCCACTTGTGTGTTATACATCGGATGCTTTTCATCCGTGATCTGTTTCGTCCGTTCTATGTCACTTGCAATTTGTCTACGTACATGTGGTGGCGCTATTCCTACTAGAGGATATAGTTTGTCTACTGGTGTTGGCTTTAAGCAGCCTGTTATAATGCGTACCGTTTCGTTTAAAGCAGTATCAATTTGTAATATATATATATATATATATATATATTACATTTAAAAAATATATATAAAAATAGTATACATAGGAAGCCAATTTTTTTTAAATACCTTAATTATCTTTTATTGAAGTATACGATCTGTATTTTTTTTCGAATAAGTATTTTTTTAAACTATTTACAATATTATATAATAGTATATTACATGATTTACATGAGGAGGAAACTTCACATTAGAGAGGCACTTCGTCATGTTTTATTCAAATAAACATTTTCACAACTCTGATTGCAGTTGTATAAAATAATATGCTTTGTAGTTAGGTACTAAATGAATTGTATACATACTTGGCCAATTGGGTTTCTGTTTTATAAGGCGGGATACACAGAATAATTATTGTTGGGGGCCGAAATCGGTTTGATAAAAGAAACAAATTATTGCCCTATCAAATTGGGTAGGTTGTAGGTACTCCATTGCGAGACGTTCATCCGTGTCCGCCATCATTTGTTTTTCTTCCGTAAATGACAATCATGGATATTTCTAAAGAAATATTTTTCTTACCAAGGTTATTCTTTTAATAATACATCTGAGTATTATGTCTATGAACCACCGAACATGCAACGGAGTTATATTATATATTATACCTACCTATATGACTATATTATTATTGACTATATAGTATATTATATAGCTGGTGTTAACAATCGAAGAAACAATATATGCAGGCGATTAACGCGGCAGGAAAAATTCGTTTTAGTTTAAAACCGTCGGTACAATGAAAGACTCATTTATCTATTGTTGTGCACTTTAATTTCTCACTGTGAGATAATAGTATGCATAATAATAAATATAATTGTTATGCCGTGCTTTCAGATTGTAGAAGTCCCAAGCCGGTAGTGTTAAGTAACATACAAACAGAAATCGAAAAAAAAATACTAATTAAAACGAGTTAAGTAGTAAAAAACAATACTAATAATAATAATAATAAGAATAGAATAACTTAGAACTCTCAGCTGCAAATCACAATTTTCAGTGCAGCATTTACAAAATTTAAAAAATATTGGAGATGGGAAAATTTATATTTTCGAGAATTTTAAGAAGTCACACAGAATTATTTTTAGTACCTATGCATAATTTTGCTCTATGCACTATATTATGCACTCATGACTAATATCTCCAATTACATAAAAACAATAAGTTATCCCAAAATGCACATAAGCTATAGAAATTAGAGAATTTCATTTTTATACAAAAACTTTATATGTAAACTTTATAGATTCAATTGTGTCTATTTTATATGCATTATTTATATATTTTTTTATAATATAAGAAAAATATACATTTCTTAGTAAATGTAATTCAGGCAGAATTAAATACAGAAAAGTCAATGATATTCAATAACTAATGTATTCTATACATAATATCACTTCTATAAAAAACAAATATAATTAGTACTAATTAACAGTTGAATTTAATTTCTATGTAGAACAAATCGAGGTAAAAGATAATTTGCTAAGTCTTAGCCGGAAATATATTTTTTTACTTTTCAGTTTTTACAACATAACTTTAGAAATTGAATCTAATACTGTTTGAAAGTGCGCAATACCAAAAAACTTTCTCAAATTATTTAAACATATATTTGTAAAATAAAAATAAATTACCCCTTGTTTTGGAAACTTCAATCATCGTTCCAAAATTGATAGTTCCTATAATGTTGTGAAATCGTGAAGAACGTCACGGGTGTCGAGTGGCCAAGTGGATTATAGCGGCCATTAAGAGGGCGTCGCGTCGCACCGGTGATTTTCAGTGGTAAAAACATGTTTAAGCAGTCTGAAAATAACTTGCTTAATTTTGGTTTTAGAGTAAAAGCACCCATTATAAAATTAAAAGAAAACAATATTCCGGAGGGCAAGACGGGGTTTTTTTAAAAAAAAAAATTAATTTTTTAGAAAGTTACAGTCATTTAAAAATGTTAAAACAGTCGTTATTTCTAAACTATGGATTGAGCGTTGTACTTAAAATAATGAAAAAAACGCACCGTCTTGTCCTCCGAAATATTGTTCTCTTTTAATTTTATAATTGGTGCTTTTACTCTAAATCCAAATTTAAGCGAGTTATTTTCAGTCTGCTTAAACAATTTGAGATGAAAAAACATTTTTAAATCGCTTTCAAGGATGATGTGATAGTCCAAAAAATAAATTAACTACTAAAATAGAGTCCTAGTTATTGAACTAAATATATAATTACACATCACAGTTTAACCTTTAAATTAAGATTTTGTAAAAAATTGTCTATACTTTACTCCTTAAAAATGGGCGGTGTAACGCCCTTTTAAAGTCCTCGCAGTCCCCGGTTTGAATCCCGAGAGTCTAAAACTATATTTGTAAAAAAAATATACTAAACCTTCATTGTGTATTGTTACTAGAAATATCTTTATCGATTTCATCATTCCCAATTTCCCTCGACGGGCCTGCCTTCTATG